ACAACAGCCTGAAATCATTGTTCATCTTTTATACGATAAACACATATCCTTCATGCTTCTATCGAGCAAATTTCAATATTTTTGAATTAAAGAATTTGAAAATTTGTTTTAAATGAATTTTTCTTTCTTAAAAATTAAATGTATTTAAACATAAACATTATGTAATTTTTATATAATATTAATATGTTTCGTATAATGAAAATTTAATCTTTTATATGATTCTAATCATTTATAAATTAATTTAATTAAAGAATTTCCTTATCAACATTTAATAAGATTTAAATTTTAAAGATTTATCAATATTTATGTCAAAAAATATTTATCGAAGGAAAATTTCCATTAAAAATTTTTTTAAACGATTATTTTTTTTAATAATTAAATTAATAATATAATATAATAATATAATAAAATTAAATATAATATAATTAATGCATTTTATAATTATAATTATTATATAATATTATATAATAATTATTATAATTATAATTAAAATAAGAAATTTAATTTTTTTTTAACTTTTAAAAATATTGTACAAATAGATAAATTATATAAAAATATTTTAAAGATAAAAGGCAAAATATTATGTGAAGAGACTTTTTATTCAACAATATTATATTTATATAAAAGTTTATATATTTGTAATGAATAAATGTTTTATCAATGTATAAAACTTTTTTCTGTTCTATCTGAGTTCACGCAAACAGGTCACTTTAAACATTGACCAAATATGCGATTATACAATACATAAATAAATCTTAAATTATAATGTAAAAAGAAAAAAATAACAACTCAAGAAAAATCATTTGATTTACTCGAAAACAAGTATCAATTTCGATGTGTTTTCTCATTTGTAATAATGTTTTCATCTATATATTTTTAATATTCAAAATTAACATATTTCAAGATCAATATTTTAAAGCAATAATATCAAATACGTATATTAAATATAGATTTTTTAAATAATCAAAATTTTTACCATGCATGATTCTATTCATTACCTGAAAAATTAATTTTAGAAATTTTTAATAATTATAAAATTTATCGTCTAAAATTTATTTCAAAATTCACTATCTAAAAAACTTAAATATTTAAAGAATGTTTTTTTATTATTTAATGTGTTATTCTATTTTTTTATTTATAAGAAAAAATAAAAACAATATCGAAAAAATATGTATCGAAATGATTTACGTAAAAATAATGAAAGTTTATCGCATCTTAAACTTTCACTTTGTTAGCCAACATACAATATTTACCTAGAAAGTGCACTGCATTGAATTCGGAAGCGCCTTTTAAATGGATACGCTCAATTCTCGATACTTTTTTCATCCATTTCCGACGAAATTATCGACGCTTGAAAGGAACAAATTTTTGAAAATCATCAGATGTTGAATAACACATAATTGTAGTAATAATCTTATCAAGAATTATTTTATTAAGCTGTTCTGGAAGTTAAGATTTTTTAAAAAATTTCTTTTAATTGCCTGATCTATTGCGAAAGCTTCAATTAAGCATTAATTTCTATCAAAAATAATTGTTTACAGACAAGTGCAATAAAATGGATACTTTAAAATGGCTTGATAACAGAAAAGTGATATATTGATGTATTTGTGACTTTTTTGAACTAGTTTTTTTTTATTTTATGTATAATGTCACAAGTACACTAATACAATTGTAATTTTTATTTGATAACTTTATGACAAATATGATTATGTGATGAAACTAATTATTCCAAATATAAAATATGTGAATCTCATATGATAATCATATATATTTATTATATTGAATGTAACACTATGTTTACTTAAGAAAATATTAAAGTACAATGTATATAATTCAAGAAAAATTATTAATTATTATTATTATTTTTCACAAACATTTTTTTAAATATTATATAATATTTTAATAAAAAATAGAAATAAAAAAAAATATAGCATCTTTCATAATCTTTACTTTTTGAAATTTAAATATTTTAATATATATGGAACTTTAAAAATAAACTTAATAATATTTATAAGTATCTAAATATGATTTTTAATAATCAATTTAATTTATATACAAAGAATAAAATGTAATATATTTAAGAAAAAAATATCATTATGCAATACAAATAATAAAAACTATCCTATCAAAATATTAATAAAATTTAACATGAAATTTTAAATATATAGTTTTTAATGTTATTTATATATTAATATGAATAATAATATAAAAGAAAAATATAACTTTAAATATTCTTTATTATTCATTATATTCTCATTAGATTTCATAACTTTCACTATTTAATTAGTGTCATTTGTCTTTTCATTTCATATTTTTGTTATAAAATACATTCAATATATATTTTTAAACATGCTTATATATAAATTTGAAGCATAAGCAAACCAAAATATCAAAATAAATCAAAATAATATTATATATGAATTCAACATCATATATCAAAAAAATATAATCTTAAAAAATATGTAACACATAATTGAAAACGATTTTAATTAAAATTAACATATCTTTTATATATAATTTTTACATTTATTATATTATTAATTTTTAGGTATCAAATAATATAATTAAAATAAATAACTAATTCTTGAAAATATAATATAATTTTTTTAAAAAGATAATGGAAATTAAACACTAATTAGCAACTATAATTATATATTACATGTATTTATATATAAATTTATATTCATTATTAAAATATTCTTATACTACAAAATAAATCACTTAATAAATAGAAGTATAATTAAATCAAACTGACATATTCTAAATAAATATAACATATAATGCTCTAAAAAAATATTAATTCGATGAAACGAAAAAACATTATATGAGGAAAAATAAAAAGCCAAAGCATACAGTAATTCCATTACAAAACAGCCCAGAAAACTACTGACAGAAACACATCAATAGGTCAATAGTAGTCAGCTGAGCTATGATTGCGATCGCGTTACGTGTTAACAATGCGTATGACGTATGTCTAGTAAGTTCAATCACCTCTGCGATTATATGAAGAAAAAATAGAGAAAAACAAAAAGAAAGAACACATATTCAATAACGTACGTGCAAATGTATCTTCGTGATGCACGATAAAATCAAGATACATGATCGACAAGTGAACTATAATCGCAGAGTGCATTGAGAATGTTTAAAAAGGACGAAAATGTCTTATTACCTGGATATCTTGGATGCATGCATTCCATCCATTATTTCTGTTCTCGCAGGACTTCTTTGAATTCAAACTGGCACAAATAATCATCACAAAGCACGACGGCCATGTTTATGCTTGTCAGCTTAGTCTGCATGTAAATAAAACTCAATCGCGTCACGATGAATGATTTGTAGCTCGCATTTCTGTATTATCGAAATCTATGAAAAAACTTTATGACAAACGAGTATTTAGCTATGTTAAATAAATACAGCCGTGCAAACGACAACGCATAACTTTGAACACAGCGAATCGTCTTTTCACACGAAAACAAACCTCGACGATAGTCATACTAACTGTTTGAGTCGACAATAAGCAAAACGAAAATAACACAAAATATTAAAAATAATATGTAAAATAGTTTGTTTATATTTTCGACGCTTTCACAAGTAACACTATCGTTTAAGATATACACACAATAAAGAAACTTTTTTGACACGAAAAGATTTATATTCTGTCTGATCATGCGCGAATACACAATCCATGATCAAGTACCCCATGACCAATTTTGCAGAATATGAATATTGGAGAGGTTAGGTTTATTAATTGCATAGCAATAATAACGATATTTTTTTAACATTATTGAAGAATAATGCGTTATTTTTGTTTAAATGAATTTTATGATTGGAACAACTATTATAAACTGTTATCGTACGTTTCCATGGAACTAATAAATTCTTTATCCTAAAGGTGGAGCCACAATGAAGATGTTCGCAGCGTCATCTTCGAAGGACATTCAGTTTGAATTAACTCTGTTTCAAATGTGATAAAACCACAGACAAGGTAGAAAATAGATCTAAGTATTCAATATATTTTTTTTATTCTATATTTCGGAGCATTAAGAGTCTTATTATTTTAATATCATTTTCAATATTACATTCATTTATTTTTTTTTATTATAAATGATAAATGAATAGCGATTTGAACGTATTCTTTTATATTGAATGTATAATTATTAAAAAGATTCTAAAACCAATTTCACATTTGTCGCCGAATTGTCAAATTTATATCAGAATATTTCTATTACAATATATAATTTTACTTAAAGTGTTAAAATTTTTAGTTATTAGATTAGGCAAAGAAGACAATAAAGTTCATTGATCAAATATCGAAGCCATCTTTTGAACACATTAATTTTGCAGAGGAGCAAATATAGACAAAGAGAATAAATAGTGAAAAAAGGATAAAAATAGGTTAAAAATTGGAATCATTATCATCTTTAAATAAAACATAAATAATAAGAATATATAATAGAAAAAGATATAGAAAGATAAAAATTAATTATCAGCACCATCTCTTAAGATTCAAAGACATTTCTTCAATAATAGAAAAAATAAAGTAAGAATTTAAGATTAGCGCCATCTGTTGAGATTTCATTTTTAGAAAAATGCCTTTAATCCAACTGATGCTAATTTCAATTCCTTCTCTAATTTATGTCTTTGAAGATCTTTGATACTTAAGAGATATTGATAGTCGAGATCATATCTTTATTGTCTTACATGTATTTTCTTTATCTATATTTGTTTCATCTCTAGAAATAGCACTGATTGTTTAATTTTTTCGCTATCTTTGTTTTTTTCTCACTATTTGTTCTTGTCTATATTTCTTTTGCAAAATTTACAAAAAATGACTCTAATATCTATTTTATTTTATTTGATTTTTAATGTATGAGAATAATGATTTTAAAAATATTACCTAAAAAAATTATTTTTAATGTTGACTTTATTTTTGCAATCGGTATTTCAGAACATGATACAAAAATTTCGTAAGGTTGTAAATCTATTTTATACCTTGTCTGTGTTTGAGTGTATAAGAATGGATTGGTGTAACTAGTAACGCAAGCAGATCTTGATTCAATCATATTCGGTCAAGTAGTGAAAAAAACAGAAGAGAAAGTGAGAGGTTCGCATGTGTTATTCAACTTTAGAATAGGTGTCAAACATAATTTCCATTTCAGGATTACACGTCTGTAAAGAGAAAGCTACTGTCTGTAAAATGCAGTAAGTTTTAAGTGATTTCTTGATGAATCATTATAAATGCGTAGCTAACTCATGACATTTCATCATATAGATATCATTTTCAATTTTACAATATATTTTATCCTAATAATATAATTTTTTAATTTTGTAATTTTATTATTGATTTAGCAGATGTAATCATGCTAAACTACTATCTACACATACATTCTCACACTCAGATTACGAACGCTTGTTTGCATACTGTTTTGTTTTCATTTTCGTTGTATTATATATATGTACAGCTGTTATAGCGCTGTATGATACATTGATTTGGCGCGTTTAAATGTCTTACAAATTGTTCTTCTAAATATATATATTTCAAGTATGCTGAACCTTGAAATCTAAATGAATATAGATTGATTTGAAAAACGAGAAAAGATATTTATTTCATAATTTACATAATATAAATATTATTTATGGAAATGATATAATTTTTCAAACAAAATAAATATGATATAAGAAAATAAATATTTAATATAATTATTTATTTGATGTTTATTTTATTATAAAAATCTTGTCTAAATATATTCTGATTTGATATTATTCTATTTTGTATCTGAATAATATTTCTGTTGATACTCAAATTTTTAAAATAAAATTTTATGAATTTTTATAATCAATTCTAGATTTTATAAATTTATTTAAAAATTTTTGATTTTAAATATTACTATTTATGATCTATTTACTATTTATATTATTTTTTATTGTTTTAATATTAAAATAATTTTTGTTATATTAATGTTAATCTATATAAAAATAATATTATAATATAATATATTTTAATATATATATATATATATATATATATATGGATATTGATTGCTGTAATATTATACTTATATATAATATATATGATTTAACATATTTATTATATGATGCAATGTCATATGATGCAACTTACAATTTATGAAGTAATAATGAACTAGATTTTATTTAGGATTATTGGCCACAATAGCAAAAGAGTTTTATGATCATTAATAATTTAAATTTTAATTTATTGATTAAATAATAATTTATTAATAATTTTAATTCCTTAATATTGAATAAAAATCATTGAAATTTATTAAACTGTTTTGATATAAATTTTATTATGTCTCTCATCTCTTATTTACAGATATGGAGTCATTTTTCGAATTGTTTGATCCAGATAATGATAAGAATACTCGGAAAAATATTTGGAATAATTCAGAAAATGAAATAAACAGAATATCAGATTGTGAAAATTTAAGTAGTGATGATGATCAAGAGGAAAGGCTACCACCAGAACCTGAACAGGGTAATATTGAATATAAATTAAAACTGATAAATCCATCTAGTCAACGATTTGAACATCTTGTAACACAAATGAAATGGCGTCTTAGAGAAGGTCATGGAGAAGCTATATATCAAATTGGTATAAAGTTATTTTGATTTTTAATTAACTCTCAATCAATTAATTAATCAAATATTTTCTATCTAATTATTAGTTATTATACTTTAATTATTTAATTTATATTATTAGGTGTAGAAGATAATGGAAAATTAACAGGTTTAACAAAAGAAGATATGAAGGCATCATTGAAAACTTTAAATGATATGGCAGCTAGATTAGGTGCTACAACACGTATACTACGTCAAAGACTTGCCAATTCTAAAAATAAAAATATGTCCACATGCAGTAACAACAAAGATGAAAGACAGGTAGCAGAAGTTTTAGTAAAAAAATTAAGAAAAGGAGATAGGGAAGATCAAGATAATATTGTTGATTTGAGACTTGCTGTCAGTGGTGCACAGGATGCTGGAAAATCAACTCTCTTAGGTGAGAGGATTAGCAGAGGACATTCAAGGTAGAGAAATATACTTAGAGTTTACTCTGCTAAATTCATTGTTTGTTTAGTTAATAAAATTTTAAATGAAACATAAATTTTAATATTCAAAAAATATGTATAGGTGTATTAACCCAGGGTGAATTAGATAATGGTAGAGGGAGAGCAAGGCTAAATATGTTGCGTCATCTTCATGAAATAAAAACAGGCCGTACATCATCAATATCACATGAAATTATAGGATTTGACAATGAAGGACATGTTTTAAATTATGCAGAAATGGCAACAGCAGAAGAAATATGCGAGCATGCATCAAAAGTTGTTACATTTATAGATTTAGCTGGTCATCGCAAATATTTAAGAACAACGGTACTTGGTCTTACAGGTATAGTAATTCAATAATTTGTTAAGTTTAAACTAATAAAATAGTAATTGATAAATTTTCTTTTCAGGATATTCACCTCATCACGTAATGTTAGTTGTAGCACCACCTATGAATGAAGCGTCACAAGAACATATGGCATTATGCCTTACATTGAGACTTCCATTTTTTATAGTTGTAAACAAGATTGATCTTGGTTTTTGTAGTACACCCGAAACGATAAATCAGTTAGAAAATGCTATTAACGCACAAGGATATTCAAAGCAATTAATAATGTATAATAATAGTCAAATATCGTGGGATTTTGAATCAGATATAATACCTGTGTTTAATGTAAGTTGTGTTACTGGAGAAGGTTTGGAAGATTTAACAAATTTCATAAAAAATTTGTCACCATATAATGTAAATTCTGCAGATTCAGATTCTGAATCGTGTTTATTTCAAATTGATGAAACTTTCAGGTACTTTTTTCTAAAAATATCATCAGATTATATTTAATAACTTAATAAAAATAAATAATAACAGATTATATTTAATAAGATATATAAATTATAAATTGTTTCGTTCCAAATAGAGTAGCAGGTTTGAATGAACCTGTTTTGGGAGGATTACTCGTAAAAGGAGCAATTGCTCTTGGAACTCGATTGTTAGTGGGTCCTTTACCAGATGGCGAATTTAGTCCCGTTAAAGTCGTTAGTTTACATCGCAATAAAGCTCCATGTTGTCTAGTAAGAGCATCGCAAAGTGCTAGTTTAACATTAGCACCGTCGACAAACCGAAGTCCCCCTTTACCTCATCTACGACCTGGAATGGTTTTGATATCAGTATGGGATCAGCCTCATGCGACACTTTTTTTTCAGGTACATCCAATATATCAATATCTTACATTTTACATATATAAAATATATGTAAAATTTAAGTAAATAATTAAGTAACAATTTTACATGAATATCTTTTAGGCAACCGTGTTAATAGTATATCATGCAACTGCAATATTTTCTGGTTTTCAAACAACTGTGCATGTAGGAAATGTAAGACAAACATGTATTATAAAGGGAATAATGGATGCAAAGGACAGAGGTTTACAGACAAACGATACAGCGTCTGTGCTATTTAGGTTTGTTAACCATCCAGAATATTTGCATGTCGGTATGCGATTACTACTACGAGAAGGTCGTACTAAGGGAATTGGCAAAATAACACAAATATTTCCACTAATAGGTCAACAGAACAGTATGCAGTAAATTAAATAAAATTTTATTTATAAAAAAGTATTAGAATGTGCAAAACGTTTACGAAGATATAAAGAAACTTATTTACTTGAATTACTACTAGATGTTATTACATCATGCGCCTAGCATAAGTATCATAAATTATATATATTTGTTATAAAACAAATAAGGGAAATTCTTTTTGTTTTCGAATTTAATCTTTTAAAGTAAAGACATTTTTTTATATAAGAAAGATAAATACAATATTTTTAACAATTTTTTATAAATTCTTTTCTGTTTAAAAAGATTGTATATTATTAAGAATAGGATAAATGAAACAGCAAACACGATCAAATAACAATTATTTGTTTATAACTTAAATACTTTTGCTTTAGGTGCATTAGTTTTGTTGTGAAGAAAAGAAATCTTAATCTTATAAAATTTCTACTATTATTTTATTATTTTATTATTGTGATTATAATCATATCTTCGTTTCATTATTATGGAATTTATTTATGGATTGATTATTTATGAAATGATTTATTTCGTCATGAAATAACACAAAATGAAAGATCATTTTAACTATTTAATGTCATCTTTTTGCGTGTGACGCTCAAATTTAAAAATTTTTCATGAGAGCAATCATTATAATAATGTAATGTTTCTCTATAAAATTTGATCTTGACTATCGAATCTATTTGCTCTGTTAGTATTTAAAAAAACAAGGAATTAAAGAAATTTATATTTGATTAAATGCAGAATAAATATTTTTGCGATCGATTACTGTCATGAAATGATAAATATCGAATGCAATATCGTCTTTCATTCATAAAACTTTAAAGAAAAAATTATATTATATACTATAAATTGTACGTATAAATCTGTCAAACAAAATTATTAAAAGTGGTTATATTTACATATGTTTTGAATTTTAAAAAAAATTACAAATGATAAAATTTGTAAAATTACTTGAAAATATTACATATCTTATAAAATATATTAAAATGTGTTATAAATTACGGTACAGCCGTCCAAAAAAAGATTTTGATTTTTTTTTGATTTATGTTAAATTTTAAATATGATCTTGTATTATATTGTAAAATATTTTAAATAAAACAAAAAAAAATGTATACATCTATATAGAGTGGATTTTTTCATATCGCAGAAAGAAAAGTTTTCTTTAAAAAAAATATATATTCATTGTCCAAAGAAAAAATAGATTTAAAAAAATGACTTGAGATCATTTAAGATGTATCCTAAAATATTTTCATTGTTATTTATGCATCAATTAATAATTTTTATAATTATAATTAAAAAAGAAAAAAATATTTATTCATTGTGATTATATGAAATCATTAAATAAATAAGGCAATATATAAAAATGCAATCCAACTTAATGTTAAATTGCACTTAAGAATAAAATAAAATGTCATGTTAAATTCTGAAAAAATACTGTTCTAATAGGAAATGCAGATTTATCATCTATAAAATTATTGCAACTTACATATTTCATAATTACACACAATAACAATATCTATAAAAGCTAAAATACAAGAAGAACTATATAAATAAATCATGTGTAAATATTTGTAGCTTCTCATCGCATTGAAATAAAAGAGTTCTTCAAACAAGCTGATTTCTTATGATTTTTGTACAAAATACAATTACTTATTTAAAAATGATAATCACTCGCATGACTAGCAATAAAAGAGACGCCAGAAAAAGAAACGCGAGCTATGAAGACTCTGAAACTGAGATAAATAAATATAAAAAAAAAATGGTATAAAAGAAAGTTAATAATTATTCAACATGATTACTTTCGGTAATCATCTTTATCGTCATTAAAAAGTATTCTTGTTTCAGATTACGTGTTCTGATAGTTCGGAGTGGGAACATTTAACGTGCCCCAAAAGAATACGAGTCTTGTTGGATCATGCCTGATGAAAAAGATGAATGGCCGATTTGCTATGAGCCTCTTCTGATTTCCATCACGTTCTAGCACAATGCTAGTCACGACTGCGGCCTCGGTACCCTTTTCCGTGATATCAATCTCCACTTTTTGAAGAACTTTAGAAGCGAAAAGATGAGGATTCACTAAATTGCCACTATTTCTCAGATCATCCAATCCAAATGAGGGGAAATTCTTTTGCTTTACATAATTCAAAAAGTCCTGATTAATCGGTCTACTCTGTCTTCTGTTTCTTCTTTGTTTATTTTCCTGGAAGCGATACTTATTTTCTTCAAGATTTATAACTTTTGCATGATTGTTATTTTCTTCGATTCTCTCTTCTATTTTATACAAATTTCTGTCTTCTTTCTTTTTGACGTCACGAATATTGCGAATTTTTCTAATGGAAAACCCATTTGTCCATTGTTCCACAGAATAGCCTCGAAGCTTATCCTCGTATGTGAAGGAATTTCTTTTCATCATACGACCCTTCATCCTTTCACCTTGAATTGAAATACGAGAAGAAATAAAATCTTCGTAATTCTGTTGACGTGTATTCGTTCTATTATTTCTTAGTTGCGTAAAAGATTTAGTTATTCCATTCTGATTGTTTTTACTCTTCCCTTGAGATATAAGACTCAAATCCGCTAATTCAGGATCAAATAAAGATTTCACGCCTAACGCAGCAAGTACAGGTTCTAAGTGCAATGTACTGCTCAGTTTCATTCGTGGCATACCAATGATACAGGTTTCATTTTTCATGTTCTTAACTAAATTTTCAATTATATCAACTGTTAGTTTATTTTGGAATTCTCGAAGAGCTTTTGCGCCTGCATTTTTCGGAAGAAGAATATACATTGAGATCTGCAAAAAGATATTGTAGAATGATTTGACAAAATTTTATCGATTTATAAAAATCATATTTTAATTGTAATATTTAGAATTCGATTAATTTTTCTTAAATATAAATAAAATATATTATAATGAAGATATTATAAAAATATCTTTTATATTTATAAAATACTTACTTCGTGACCTTTATATGGAAGACCAAGAATTTTTACATCTAATTGTTTATCTTCATAAAAGGGAAAAGTACCTGCATTGTACATCATGTCTACTAGAATTGATTCATTTGGCTCAACGTGAAATAATGTCCTAATTAAACAATTAATTGTACAATATTGGTACATACATCGCAATCTTATAATCATAGCAATTATTAAACATCAAATAATTATTAAAAAGATATATATATATATAAAATGATTTTAGATATATATATTTTATAAATTTTTTTAGGAAAAAAAAAATACCTTTTTGTAAATCCTGTTAAGAAATGTTGATTCCATTCACCATTAAAATAAAGTGCCGATAAAAGAATCATCTTAGTATTTGGACTAGGCACATCATCCAAAATTTTTGAAATTTTTCCCATCGTCTTCTGATTTACCCATGTGTTTATTATGTCCATTGTTGCTTTTCCTTTTCTTATGAAATCTACGTTGATTAACTCATTTTCATAAACATTGTTGCTCAGTGCTTTAAATTGTGGCAATATTGGAAATCCATCCTAAATCAAAATTATCTATAATATGTGTTCGTTTTATTTAAAATAAAAATGTTCAATTTTCTTATGAAACAAAATTTTTACCTGGACATATGAGGCTGTAGCAAAATTTACACGTGGCCCAGGAGATCCATCTATCTTGGTGTGGAGTTTCGTTAATAATAGGCCAAACATCTGATGAACGATCTCAGAGTTTTGTGAGATATCAATACCACTTTCAAGTCCAAGTACTTTAGACACTTCGTTGAAAGTTCTGCCAGCAGAACCCGCAAAAACAATCGCTAATGTCACTGTGAGGCTGATTGGCGAAAAAATTATATTATCTTTTTGACCCATTAAAGACATGTCTCGAGTTTTATAAATCTGTCGTTCTACGTCCAGGGCAAATTTTAATACTCCATTAATAATAATGTTATTTACCTGAAATTATTTTTATTTATTATTTTTTATAATATAATTTAATTTAATTAATTAAAATGATAAAAAATTTTTTAATAATATATATATATCTCTTCCAATCATTAATTAATATTATATCGAATAAAAATTTAGTTGATTTGATTGAATGTAATCTTAATTAATTATTAATTATATTAAATATTATTCAATATTGATTGAAAAAATATTAATATATAAAATACTAATAAACTTTTTAACTTTTTAATATTTTATATAAATTTTATTTATAAATTTGCTTGAAAATTATACGTTGTAAAAACAACAAAAAAAATCATAGCAGAGAATAAAATATCAATACTTATATTTCTAAATAAACTTATTCGATCTTTATTATATGCAATGTACAGAATATCATAAATCAATTTGCAATTTTTTTGTTAAAATTCAATTTGTATGCATTTTCAAACATTTCAAAACTTTTATATAAGTTATATCATATGCAATAATGAAAAAAAATTCATTATGAATATTATTATTGAAATATTAACTCATTATTGTGAAATTTTAAGGTCACTGTTCAGCAACTTATGTTTAATGAACAACTTGCATCACCAATGCTGCCTTTTATTTATCATGAATACCATCATAAATATCTTAAGAATATTTCACAATGTGTGAATTTAAATGTTTCTACTTTTTTTTGTGATTCATATTAATGATTAGTGATTAATGATCATGATTAAATTTATTTCTTAAAGCTTCCATCCAAAGAAATATTAAAACTTTTCACTGGATATTTTAAAATATCTTTCTACTTACATGATCGCTCCAGCCTTGTAGCGTGTTCTCCATCTGAGCAGGATACCTTGGTGCATTTTGCGATTTATTGGGTATCATAGGTTGTAATGAGGTCAATGGCGGTTGTAAATTTGCAGAGTTACTTTTAGTTATAGAATTTGCAATGTTTGAATACAGATCCGGAGGAATAGTTGATAAATTTCTGAGCCGGTTATATTCATCAGGATAGATCAATTGACCAAAAGCACTGGTCATAAGGCTTAAAAGTATTAATGTAGTCACCATTGCTGCAAAAAATGTGAATATTGATCAATAAATATGTAATTATTTAATTAATGAAAATTAAATTTTATTAATTGCAGCATTATAAAATGATTTTTTAGTTTTCAACAATATCATATATATTTAATATTAATTTGACATTGAATCATTAGTCATTTCATTGTTTGATAAAAATTTAATATAACAAGATAAGTGTTAAGCATTAAAAAAAAGATTAAAGTAGAAATTTTTATCATTAAAACTATTTAATTCGAAGCTATTTAAATGAATGACGAGAATACTAGTTATAGAATCACATATCTTGCCATTTATGGAAGTATCATTATCATTATGTATATCCGTTTCTTGATTACATTAATTTTAAATATAGACTGTTTTTTTTTTAATTAAACAATGATTCAAAATTAAAATAATTAATAAAATTAATGCAATAAGGAAAAAATATAATGAAAAAACTGCTGAATTTCTGTTTATTTTGTATATTTATTTCAATATTATGTTATCCGTTTTTGAATAGGAAATAATTTTTTCTTAAAAAAATATTTATTTTTCAAAAATAAATAAAGAATATCTCTTTTTTTTTTGAGAAAATATTTTATTGAAAAATATATTTTTAATATTATTAAAACTATTTTAATAAGTAAAAGTTATTCTCTTAAAATTACTGACTACGTACTAGTAATCATAAAAATTATTGAATACGAGAATATGAGAATAGAGTAAATAAATCATCCAATGAGAGTTTCAATCTATTATTTATATTCTTCTTGTATGTCTTGTTTTATAAATTTATATATATATATATATATATATATAAAATTTTAATCGAAGAATTTCAAGATATAAGAATAATTGTGATTAATAGCGTCTATAACTATCCTCATCATTATACGAAATATAAAATCGATTCAAGCTCATTGAAAACAATTCTTTCATTGTT